CTAACTCACTTATGATTGAGTTGTGAAGACTAACCAGAAGCCAATAGGCTATATTCCTTATATATGCAGTACCGGTAGTTGAATATATCCCTNTCATGTACCCAAAGTGAAAAGTTCATTAGCTTCTACCTATGTTTAGCCAAAATGTTGTTTTGGATTTCTGGGTTTCGTCTTGCTGTTCGTTAGGAGGGCCTAATTGGATTATTTATGTGAAAGGGATATATTGTTCAACTTGGGTACATGAAAGAGGGATATATTGTTCAACTTGGGTACATGAAAGAGGGATATATTGTTCAACTTGGGTACATGAAAGAGGGATATATTGTTCAACTTGGGTACATGAAAGAGAGATATATTGTTCAACTTGGGTACATGAAAGAGGGATATATTGTTTAACTTGGGTACATGAAAGAGGGATATATTGTTCAACTTGGGTACATGAAAGAGGGATATATTGTTCAACTTGGGTACATGAAAGAGAGATATATTGTTCAACTTGGGTACATGAAAGAGAGATATATTGTTCAACTTGGGTACATGAAAGACTGATATATTGTTCAACTTGGGTACATGAAAGACTGATATATTGTTCAACTTGGGTACATGAAAGAGAGATATATTGTTCAACTTGGGAACATGAAAGAGAGATATATTGTTCAACTTGGGTACATGAAAGAGAGATATATTGTTCAACTTGGGTACATGAAAGAGGGATATATTGTTCAACTTGGGTACATGAAAGAGGGATATATTGTTCAACTTGGGTACGGTAGGCTACATGAAAGGGATATATTCAACTACCGGTACTGCATATATAAGGAATATAGCCTATTGGTTTCTGGTTAGTCTGAAACATCTGCCTCTTCCAGCCTCTGATGGATATTTTGACAGTTTTCAGCTTGAGTAGATATTGATATGAAATTAAATTAACTTTATGATGATTGTAAATTAGTGTTGGACATCACTGTAACTTTGTTGTTGTTAGTATCTTTGAACTTTTGGCTGCATATGCAATTTTAAATGGTAAAAGCTAGATGGTTAAAAAAATTTTTTATGGCATTGGAGAAGTGGCATAAATGGTGCAAGGAGCAAATTGTGGTATGACTGAACTACAAAAATATTCATCTTTCCAAATACTGTATATTTTATCTGAGTTTTGCAGATCTGATGTATCTAAATAAAGCTTGAAAACCTCTGCACCTGCAGAGATGCAGAATGTCCTGGTGTAATAGGGCTTCTTTTTTCTGTCTGTAAACCAGCTTACATCTGTCCAAATAGAGACAAATGTTTCGGTCTAGCTTCTGTTAAGACTTGAGTGACAAAAATACATTTGACTCTAAAGCACATGTGATTGTGAAGAATAAGTATCAATCATTATATTTTAACTTGTTTATTTGATGTTTGTATTTCATAATGAATAGAGAGTAGATCTAACCAGAAATAATTTTGTTTCCTAATTGTTATTAAAGGAAGTTGTGG